AAAATCTATTTACTTTCATTCAATTTTAATTGAGTAAAAAGATTACATTCTATGAAAGTTTTTAAGTAAAATATAAAAACAATATTTTAATTGGGTTTATTAAGGGGATTTTGTACTGTGTGAATATTTTTTGTAATTGTAAAAAACATTATTTTTGGGTATATCAAAGTTTGTTCATCTGAAAATGTTTAAAAATCCATTTTTTTCGCTATAAAAAAGTTTTCAATATCTTGTTCTTTTGCCATCTTTAAAGTGTGATTTTGAAAAATGTTTTGTTTAAAACTGTCCATAGAACATTCGGGTGTCGAATAAAAATATTTTGGGAATTTTTGTTATTCATCAGCGTCGGTAATAAAAAATCACTGTTTTTACGTAATCGAAGTTCTATAATTTAAAAATATTAATAATTTTTTAAATAAATGAAAAAGGTTACTTTTTTATCTCGTGACGGATTTTTGTTCATTTATAAATATAATATAAATATCATAATAAAAATAAAATATTAATTAAGTCATTTTGATGTTTTCGAGCTCTATGCTATTTAAAAAGGTCGCTTGAAAACTTCAAAAGCAGTGAATTTAAAAAATTTCAAAAGTTATAATACATTGTTTAAACTGAAACTTTAAGAGGAACTTGGAGAGAGCTCCTAAAACATGACAAACTAACATATTTTCATAGGAGACTAAATAAAAAAATAGTGTTTTTAGGCCACCCTAATGGACATGCGTCAAAAAATGCTTTTTCCTAGGCGAACTTTAAAAATGGATTAGGGCTTAAATCCACGAGAACACCAATAAAAAACCGGCCCCTTGGCCGTACAGCACAAGTGGTTAAATTAACGTTATGTCTGGTTTTTGAGTAATATTGTACTAAAACGTTTAATTAACGTTATTTTTTAATAAGTGAAGAATTAAATTATTTTAAGTAAATTTTACTTTTTGGTTAATTTACGTTTTGGTTAAAAATAGGTTAATATTTTGTAATTTTATAAAATTATATTTATATTATATTATATATAAAAACCTATAGGTTTATTTTACCCTTAACTGTTTAGTTTAACTTTATATTACTTATTTAAAGACCTTTAAAATAAATTATTATTATAATATTTTATAATTTTTTTTTATATTTTATGCTAAATGTATAAAATACAATTAAACCTAAAACATTATTATGTTTTATTAGTTGTGAGGTTAAATAACCTTATTTTCTAATTAACAGATAAATACAAATTAATGTTTTTTTATAGAATGGATAATAACTAATATGGCGGATTACCACTTTACTAAAAATTTATATTAAAAGTTAAATTAATCCAAAATATATCTAAAAAAATAACAACTCCATTTTCGTTAAAATTAAAGGTAAATATAAATTTATGTAACTTATAAAATAACCTACTTTTTAACTATTTATATTCAATTTACAATAAAAAAACAAATATTAAACTTGTAAGTTATATTACCAATAAGTTTTTTTAATAGTTAAATTAAACTAAAAATATCCTTTGAATTTACCTTAAGGTAATAGCAACCAGTTGGTAAAGGTTATTTTTTAGTTTTTTAGAAAAGTGTCAATACTTAAATCAACGAATTGTTTAAAAAATAAGTGAATCTTGGTTAATTTACTTAGAATACTAGTTATTTAACCAGTTGCACAGTCAACTACAAAATCTTGTTGCATGGAATGCAAAAAAAAGTTTTATAAACTACCATGGTAGTTTTTAAAACGACTTCACTTAATTGTGGTATGAAAAAACACGTGGTCATTTTTTCAAGTTGACTGATTTTCGCCATTTTTTTAATGTGAATATTTTGGCCTGAGCTATATGCGTCAAAGTGGTGTCAAATTCTATCAAAGTTTTGATGGCTTGAATTAAAATTTGTTTGAATAGGTACTTTTTTAAATGGTTGTCTCTTCATTATATAATCAGTATTAAATTTTTTATCAACCACGAAATATTTTTTAAGCAGAAATAAGATAAACAATGGGGAAAAATGCAAAAATAAAATTAGTCAACTTTACAAAATGAGTACCTAGGTATGTGATAACCAAAATTAAGCAAATTGCAGAGTGTAATTAATATACATAATTATCATTAATGATTAATCTATACATCTATACCTACTGCCCTAAAATGCTAAAGGCCAGTAGGTATATTCATATATATTTATTTTTGGTTTGTTTAACAATAAAAATGATCTTTTGTCCTTTATTACTTAAATGGCATATACTGCATTTTAGCGTAGTACATATTGACATTGTGTTTTTTTCCAAAAATTCACTGGACCTTTTTTATAATTTGTTGATTTTACAAAAAAAAAATATTTTGAATTCCCAGGAATTTTTTATTTATTTATTTTTGCCACAAAGTTAAATATATTTTTAAATTGAACTTAAAAACCTTATTTTATGTTCGAATCTTATAATCTAATCTAATATAATGAATCGGTATATTTCAGGTTTACATAATGCAAACAGTTTACATAATGCAAACAGCTCGAATTAATAAAATACATACGTGAAAATTTTAAACAATTTTATTGAGAAATCAGCTAAATTGTGGCTTCAATTTTTAATGTTTTTCAGAGTGAATTTTAATTTTTTAGTAATTATTTTTTAATCAGATAACTATTTAATAATTAATTAATAATCAGATTCTAACTAAATATTTTAACATTTTAATTAAATAAATTGTCATCGACCTTGTAACGCAGATATGAAGAAATACCAAATATAACTTTAAGATGAATAAAATGTATTAAAAAAACGGTGCGGTGCGCCATTTTGCTTAATAAGCTTATGTTTTCAAGAAAATATATGTATATATATATATATAACAATACCTATGTCCAAAATATCTTGCGTATCCCAAAATTTAAACATTATTTTTTTTATATATTTGGAACCTATTTAGGACTATCGTGAAAAAAAATTCGAACACACCCTAAATAAGGACCACCCTAATATATATATATGTAGCTTTGGGGAAAAATAAACTTAAAAATTCTGTTTTTAACAAAATAAAATTGTTTTAGCCATAATTGCACAATTTTTAATCTTCAAATTTAAAGTGCTGTAGCATAATAGTATATTATGTATCAAGTTTTATAAATGTAATTTTAGTTAGGAGTTTTATTAGGCACGAGCGAAGCTTGCAAGCAAGTGTTTAATAAAAACGAGTCTCTATAGAGATGTTTATAAAACGAGTTAAATACTATACTTTATCTACGACGAACACAAAGAAGAATATAAAGCCAATTTTATTTGTTAAACATTTGACATCTGTCAAATATCAACGAATTTAACCTCACTTTTCCCCAATTTATAATAAAGCCAACTTCAGACCGTGACTAAAATGTCCTAAAGCCACTATTGCTAAATTTAGCCCGTGACTAAAACGCCATAAAGTCACAGCTTGTCAATGTAGCCTACATTATGTAGGAGTAGATACTAGTATATTATGAATCAAATTTCATAAACGCCATTTTAGTTACAAGTTTTATTAAAACAAGTGTCTTAAAAAGTTTATAAAACGAGTTGCATACTATGCCAATTTTAATTTGACATCTGAAGAATTTAACCTCACATTTTCGCAATTTATAATAAAGCCAACTTCAGCCCGTGACTAAAATGAGCAAAAGCCACTGTTGCTAACTTCAGCCCATGACTAAAACGCTATAAAGTCGCAGCTTGTCAATGAGTAGAGGAGTTTACTTCTCTACTCATTGACAAGCTGCGAATATCTATAGATAAACAATTTTAGTCTGTAGGATAAAATAATAATATAAAGATCGAAGAAAGATATTAAATTAAATTAATAAAGTTTTGAATAAGAAGCATAATGTAGGTAACATAATTTTGATGATTTTCAAAATTTTTAAAATTTGTAAATTTTTGTAAATTTTAAATTTTTTTAAAATTTTGGGACTTTATCCAACCATTTTTTATATTTATACTACTGTGCGAATTTGTTCATTCCGTTTTTCCATTTCGTAAAGGCATGTGCGTTTCACGCTTTTCATGAAGTTTTGGTTTACCCGTACGCAAAAAATTACACTTGCCTTAAATATTTAAAAACACTTTTGTATATAAACTTTGAAATACCTATATACCTTTATAACCACTTGTTATTTTAGGGCAGCTGCCATATTGGACTGATTTATTTTGATATTTCTTCACTTACATATGTAACTTCATACTTCATGATCTGTGACGTCACTTCCGTTGCCTGCGATTATCGATTTTTTTAGTTTGAACCAATCAAAAAATTTTTTTATTGGTCCAAACGGTATAGATCCAATCTCACTTTCTACCTTTAATAATTATTATAATTGTACGTTTTATGTATTGTTAAACAAAAAAATTATGCCTTGAAGATAAAATCCTGTATGCCATGCGGCTTAGAATTGTCTTCGCACAATTCTAGGCGCCGCATTCAAACTTTAAGCTCAGCAAAAAAGACTTGTCAGCCTTACCATATAAATAACTATTATTTGAAACATAATTCCTCTATTTATGGAATTAATTTTTTGTTATAAATTAATAAAAAAAAATTAAATGCTAGCCCTTGAACTCTAAAATAATAGTAATTTTTAAAACTTTAAATTTGCTTCCTTTTTGCTTTTTAAATTATTATTGTTATTTATTTATTGTAAAAAGGTTTTAATTTATTTAATGAGACTGGCTACGCCCGCAAATAAAATGTAACAATAAAAATTGTAAAAAGGAAAGCCGGTAACGGCCGTTATAACATCGAGCACGTGTTCTTCCTTTGTTTGCAATAAACAAATTGGTCTAGGTTGGTGAGAAATGGCGGGCCAACTGGGGAGCCAGCTGCCAGATTGCGTATAAACCGCTGCCAATGGCCGGACGACGTTTCGAATTTGGCGGGCCGGCTTTTTAGCGCGCATGTGCGCTTCGAAACCCTTGCGCACATGGCCCGGTGTCTTAAACATGCTGCCGATCTCGATTTGGCAGTCGGTTGCAAGCAGGCATAACGTAAACGTCTGCTTGACTAAAAAACATTTAGTAACCCTACAATATTAGATATATTTATATATTTTTGTACCAGTGACTCGTTTTTAACTATATTTAAAGTCGTTTTTCTCCGTGTTAGATACGCGTTTCATTTAAACCATAAACAACCAATTGTTTTTAAAAAACGATCAACGACAATCAGGTTGGTTATACCTACTTAGTTCTCTTGAAACTGTTGTGCGATTTACTTGGTGAGCAAAACAAAAAATGCCGGACTCTACTCTATTCGATATGGGACGTAACTCCGGGATCGGCGATGAAAGGGCTCTGCAGTTGGCCCTGGAACTGACCATGCTGGGCTTCAACGAGCCCATGAACTCTGTTCCGGAACAGGAGAGTCCGCAAGATCTCAACAACTTCGTCAACCCTCTATCCAACGTGGGTATCGACGAGGTCAGATCCAAAAAATCACAAAACATGACCGAATGCGTTCCGGTACCCAGTTCCGAGCACGTTGCCGAAATCGTTGGAAGACAAGGTACGTTTACACCTAGCCATTGTTTATTTATTTCAATTAGATAGGTATACCTACTCTAGATTAGTTTTTATTGCACCTAAATTCAATGTGCATATTTCCAAACAGTTTATTTACTCACCGTAGCACCCATTTTCTTATCTATGTTTACATTACGATAAAAACCAATTTTAACCACGTAAAACGCGGAAGTGCACCTAATAATAAAAAATGTAATTATGTAATGAAAAGAATCTTAAATTTCACATTTATAAGGGTTAAAGATCGTATAACCATCAATCGATACCTTACACCATCCGCAGGATGTGTTTTAAAAGTTCTTTTGTTATTCAGCTTGCCTGGACAATTTTTTTATAAAACAATAAGTATTCAATATAAGTATAAAGTTACATGAGTCAGTGGGTACAGGAAGCTATGACTTAAGTACATATTAAATTTATCGATATTTTAAAATAAATAACAAAACGTCGGTTATTGAATAATATAATTTTTGTCCTTACTGTATCAAAATTAACGTTTTTTAGTAACGGTTTTGCACCCTTACCCCTTTTTACCGTTGATAAAAACCCATATGTTAATTACTCACAAAACTGGTTTGTTTATTTACTATGTGTAAACTAGATAGTAGTTTATCTATAGTGTATGAGTTTTCCAAAATACAAAACTAAATTAAAAAATTCGTTGCGGCATAGAATAATCCAGAAGATGCCAGGTAGAAACGCAGAGATTACCTGAGTCAAGAGCAGATGCAGAAAGGAATATTGATATTCGAACTTTTAAGCTGGTTAAAGCGTGCGTACTATAATTCTATAGTATAGTAATAGATGTATTATCATTTTTATTATGTTATTAAAAACCCTTGACATAAAAATAACTAAATTTCTTTTCGTACAATTTTATACATGTGCCTACGTATTGTCATTCTATTACACGATATTAAGTAATATGTAAATCTATATACTTACATTATATTGGTAGAAAGTTGTTTTGCCCAACTATTAAAAGCGTTTTATAATTTGTTTCTTGTATTGAATTTTATCAATTTAGACCTTATGACAATAGTTTTTTATACCGGCAATGTTTTACACAAATATTGTTGATATTAAACTGACATGTTCAAAAAAATTTAATAAATAACGGAGATCAAAATAAAAAAAAATGATAATTTGAAAACAAAAGATCAAATGGAAAATATTTATTTAAAAAAAGTTTCCTTAAGAGATATACAACCTTTATTCCGTTGCCCATTTTTAGTTTAAATACCCTGTACCTACATATATGTAATATTTTATTGTTATATTTTAATTCGTAGTTTCCAGTCTTGGAAAAAGTCATTACATTAATAAAAAAGTAAAAAGTCTAATATAAATATAAATAAAAATATTTTTTTGTATTGAAATATTTAATCGATATCATTTTTTGGAATTACTGCCCACTAAAAAAAAATTCTTGAAAAATTGTCTTATCCAATCCCGAAACAATGCGAGATTTGAATTATTTTATTCAAATATTATTAAATTGTAAAACAAGAAAAAGTTTAAATTAAGTCAAGGCTTTTTAAAAAAATAATTTGATTTAATTTATTTTTGCTTATATTTTATGACTTCAAATACATACATATCTCTTAAAATATTTATTTAATACTTTTTTTGCAGAAGACAAAAAAATTAATTTACTGTTTTCTTTAATGTCAACCGTTTACATGTAAACAGCAAAAACACATTGTATAAGAAATCAAACTTTAAACCAGTAAGATACTTTAATCAAACGAAAAAATCAATGAAAAAACTGCCGCAAAAAAGTCAATTAAAAAAGTATTACCTGTAATCCTAATACTCATGTCAAAAAAAGTTTAAATGTAAAGCATTTCCTACAAATCAAAACAAAGAAATCTTGCTTGTCGACAGAATTTATTTTGATATCTACCTATAGGTAGTTATAAATATTTAAATTATTGTAATCTTTTAAACAAAGTGTGAAACTTATTTAAAGGATTATCACGGCCATGAACCTTCACGCTGAGGGCTTATATTGTATTGTTTTGCTAAAATAATTGGCCATTTTGAATTATTAGTTAAGATATGCTTCCTGTGTTAAATTCAGTGTAAAATTTAAAATGGTTGTTAAATTGTTAAATATACAGCAATTTTAATACAGTCATTTTTAAAAGTTTGACAGAAGACGACCGTTAAAGCTGCGTACTCACTTAGCACGTATCGTTCGATAAGTGTGTAAGCAGCTTAAGATGGGGATTTTTGCGAAATATCGTTAGTAGTATAGTAAGGTAAACAAGTTGTTCTTTCTGTTGATATTTTTAACGACCAAAGTTATTGGCCGAGTTACATCATAGCTCTGATTATTAGATTTATGGTGATTCAAACCGCCAGACCCAAAATATTCTTTATTTGTTGCTCATCGAAAACAACAGTTTAAAAACAAAGATCAAAAGTTTTACCGACAAAATAAAAAAAATTAAGCCAATTTACGTATTTAGGTTTATTTTTGATGTCTAAATTTTTCCGAACATTTTTATTAATGCAAGATTTTTATCAAAATATTATTGCAATATAATTTCGTTAGGCTGATGTGGCCATCGACTCTTTGACATTGTATTAAACGCAATCGTGCGAAATAATCCGTTTATAACCCGCCATGTAAACTATCCAATTACTGCATTTTGTGCATGTGCTCAGTATGCCGTCAAAAATTTAAAAATGCCACACACATGACAGACATGGGTGTTATAGATTTTAATTTTAAAGAAAATGTTTATAATAATAAAACATACGTAACAAACCCAATATGCATACAAATTATTATATTTCTTATTAAGTAGACATTTTTTTGACATTTTCATACAATTTCGGTAACCAAAGATTTGAATGCAAAAGTCCGCCTATGAAATTCGATCAAAGGGAGGGAAATTCGATCTTTACAGTTTGGTTTCTTTTATCCTGCGCTGTCTCTTTTATTCGAGAACAAAATGCTGCCAGACGGTAATAAAAAAACAAAAAATCTCTTCGAGGAACACATCAAATTTTGGACCTCACAAAAGATTTTCATTTTTATTGTTTTGCTTTATTAAGTGTTTAATTTTTCGTGATATTTTTGTAATATGGAATAGTCCATAAATATCCAACAATTGATCAAACAACCACTTTTACTGGTTAGTATCCAAACTTCCAAACAAACGTTGTTTCTTTAGTTACCTCAAAGCTCTTTGTTGAATTAATCGCACTTTTTTTCGAATTCACCGGGTGCATAAAATCCAAAACCAATAACGTTAACTTTAAAGATCACTTGAAGGCACCGCCTCACCATAAGTCATAGTGAATACACTCATGGCCTTGAAATCTTCGGTAAGGTCAAGGCAGTTGTTACGCTAGACTTACTTGCTTTCTTTACAAAGAACACAATTGGAACGTCATTTCTTTAGCTCCTTGAACGTCTTGTTTATAATAAAAATAGTTTTTTATATTTGGGGATAATTTTACTATAAAATATCATAAATATTTAATTGTTTAATTTGTCAAATTTCGTAGTATATAATCCTATGGTAGACCTATTACAAGACTTTATGGTCTTGTTGACTACATAATTATCCAATCAAATTAATTTAAAATAAAATGTGTTACATAAATGTTGATCGTAGGTATTACTAAAAGGATGCTAAATTACCATATTGAATAATAATTTTACTTTACTTTACTGAATATTCATTAATTTATTGAACGTAGCATTTTTTAAAATTGCCTTTAAAGCAAAATAACATTGGATTTATAGCCTGTTTACCTTAGTCAATATATATGTATATAATATGATATGATATGTAAAAGAATATATATAGTAAGTTATAAGATTTATTATTATTTTATTTAGTACCTATAGCTATAGGTAAACTTATTTTGTCACTATGTCACATTTATAATATGATGTTAAAGAAATTAGTTGTTTCAATTGATTTTATTTTGCAAGTTGACATTTGTTAATAATTGGAACGTTTAAATTGAGGTTTCACATGTGGCAACGTGTTACGTGACAAAATAGACCCCGCCCAGCATTTTTTTTTATTAATTAGTCCATCGAATTTACATTTTTCGAAGGTAAATATACAGCGAACTCCCCCAAGTATTCAATCAATAAGCGTTGGAAAAAATATGCTTACAAAAAATGACCCATATTAGCGGGACGTTAACCTTTTGTTCCAGCTAGAATTAGTAAATAGGCACATCCTTGTTATACTAGAGTATAATTGTTATGTCATAGGATTAACATATGCATGGTTTTTTTGCTAAAGGTTACCCGGTTATGTTTGAATTTAAAATTACGGTTTCAATCAGAGAAGTTCTTAAAATATACAGGGTTCCAAAAAATTGCACCACTAAACAAATTAAAGAATTTAATGAAAACTCGAAATAAATCAGTATCTGTTAAGTTTCCAAATAAATAGAATGATATAATTTATAATTAAATTATATTTTCTAAAATTTTTCAAGATTAATTTTTAAAAACATTATTTTAAAAACTTGAGGCACCCTGTACAAATGCATCGGATTTTTAAGTATAAATCTCTTACATTTAGATAAAGCCTAGCAATTTTATGGCATAATATTTTGACCATGTTATTTCGTCGGTAATACCCTTTAATAAGGTATTATTAGCTATTTTTAAGTTGAATCTTAAAATCAAAATCATCGACCCTATTGTTAAATTAAGTGTTCTTTGTATTTAATGAATATTTTTACCAAATTACTTATTTTACGGAGGCCATTCTTTAATAAAATCAAGGTTTGCAGTTGTGCTATATATTTATTTGGCTAAAATGTCTTAAATATAAATATCAGTGTTCCGGGATATACAGGGTGATGAAACTGTTTTTCGTATCTCGCTTCGTTTTCGAGATAAACAATTTTTTTTTTAATTTCTGAAGCAAGTGAACAATTTTAAAAATGTCAGATTATCGTTTTCGACTCGTTTTCGACTCGTCAAGCCATTTCATTTGA